GGAGATGATCAGAAACACTACAAATTTAAGATGATTTGTAATTCCTAAAGAAATAAATGTTGTACTGATGGTACTTTTAATAATAATTTTCTTGCTGAAATTATGTCAAAATCAAAATGGAAGTGCATGCATATCAGAATTTTTTTCTAATGGTGGAAATCAGTTGTTCTAGTTTGTCTATATACTTAGATAAATACGTTAATGTTACCAGAGAGACTACTTACTTAAAATTACTTTTAAAAGTTACCATAATTATAATGCTTTTATAGGAAGGGTATAGTAACTTTTGTTTGAACAACTCAAAAACATAATCTTATACTGCTTATTCACAAATAATTTTTGCATACTAAAGTCTGGCAAAGTACCTTGCTCAAGAATGATTTAGTTTTAGAAATGACTTAATCTTTCTGAAAGTCTCAGAATGAATTCCATAGTTTCTTTCTTTAAAGATAGGTACTACAAATTGTTCCAAAAAGGCTGTAATTGGAATGCTTCTTATGCTATTTGTGCTACAAGTCCTCTTTAAGCAAACAAGTATGTGTTATCTATATGCCATGGGTTGTTAATGAGTTTGCCTCCAATCCTGATGCCATATTCTTCTTCATATAGTCCTGTTTCTGAAATTCTTTACTGAGCATAGGAATTACAATACATATGGTGAATAGATACTACTCAGAAACACATCTCTTCTGATTTTAAATCATGCAGTATCCCCTTGTTCTGTTCCAATGACTTTCTCTTAGTCTAAGTACAGGTTTTTAGTGAGTGCAGTTAGGAGTTCTGGAATTCCCATTTTTTGCAATGTTATCCATAATTTGTTATCATCCATACAAATAAATATCTCTATGTAGTTAATAAAATACTGGTAAACATCTGTCTGGCAATCTCTGCTTTCAGCCAAGATCCACTTGATATCATCAGTTATATCTTGCTTTCTATATTCTCTTCTTAATCTAGTTTGAATTTTTGGCAATTTCCTATCAGTGTACTGCAGTTGCAAACATTTTCAAATTAACTTCAGCATAATTTCACTTGTATGTGATATTAATATTGTTCAGTAACTTCTTCATCCTGTTGGATCACTATTCTTTGTAATGGGCACAAATATGAATCTCTTCGAGGCAATTGACCAGATAGCTGTTTTCTTAATTCCTTGGCATGCACAACTGAGGGCTTCCAACATTGCTTCCATTTACTGAAACATCTAAATTGGTATTCTGTCAATTCCTGAAGCCTTGGTTTTGGCCAATGCCTTCAGGACATCTTGGAACTCTTCCTTCAATACCATCAGATCTTGAACATGTACTGTTTCCTGAAATGTTTGAACATTAACCAATACTTTTTGGTACAGTGACTCTCTATATTCTCTCCTTCTTCTTTTGATACTTCCTGCATCACTCAATATTTTTTTGCCCATAGCGCATGATGGAATACTATGCAACATTAAAGAATAATGAAAAATACACAAATCATCTCATAATGTGGATGAATTTGGAGGACATTAAGCTGATATTGTATGAGTCCATTATTTTAAATAATCAAGGGAAGATTTACTCAGGGAAAGAAATTCACTTTGTTTGTTACCAGGAATGGGAGGGAAGAGGAGGGAAAATCTGGGACTAGTTGGGGATCGAATGTTGGTTTTGGTGGAGGGTCAGTATGGAAAGAGTCTATCACCAGCATGGTAACATTAGGGAAAGGAAAGGCACAGAATCATGCACAAAAGACATAGACAATAGAGGCAAACACTATTACTTGCACAATACGGCATTACCACTGGCACCAAACCCCAGGATATGGGTTAATGCATAGACGGGTGAGAAGATCAGGTAGGGGTAGGTGAACAGGAATACACCCAAGACCAATGAGAGATTTGGCTGAACATAATCTTACATATGCACTTGTGCTACAAAATTGTCGACATACATTACAGTAGAAAAGGTTGGAGAAGCTCCTCAGAGACAACCAAACACCTTGGAGGAGAGAATCACTGGATCTGAGGGTTTGATGAGGGGACATCATGTTCAATTGGCACAATGCAGTACATAAAAACCTTGTTCTACATCCTACTTTGGTGAGTAACAACTGAAGTCTTAAAACCTCTGAGTGACCATCTAAGATGCAACAATTGGTCTCCTATCATCTGAATCAAAGAAGAGTGAAGAAAATCAAAGACACCTGGAAACAATTAAGTCTAAGGATAAGATAGACCATGAGGACCTCAGCCTTCCTGACCCTGAGACCAGAAGAACTAGATCGTGCTGGGTTACCAATGCCAACCACTCAGAAAGATATCTAAGCAGGAGATCTTGGATAGAATGGGAGGAAAAATGTGGAACGAAATTCAAAACCATAAAAATTACCAGAATTACTGGTCAGATTGTGCCTGTTGGAACACCAGAGACTATGGCCCCAGGTTACCCTTTGGGCCTAGAAATGGACTAACTTCTGTGGACTGGCTCTCAGCCCAACAGTAGAAAGACCTACATGCAGAACAACCACTCCCAGGGTGATGTATACACCTACTGTAGAAAGATTCACATAGAAACAAAGCTGGACAGGCAAGAATGCACAGATAAGCAGGGCACAAGGAGGTGGCAGTCACAGGGAGGAGAAGGGAGGTAATTTGGGCCATGAAATCAATGGGCATTAACTGCTGACTGTAAAACAAATCTGCTATGTTAATTTGCCCCCAAAGCAGAATAGAAAAAAAAAAAAAAAGATAGAAAGAAAGAAAGAAAGAAAGAAAGAAGAAGAAGAAGAAGAAGAAGAAGAAGAAGAAGAAAGAATTCTTCAGTACTGCGACACAAAGCTTGATTTTTTTTCCTTAGTTCTTTTAGCTTGAGAAATGGCAAAGTGTGTTGTCTTTTGGTTTTCTAACTCCAGGTCTTTGCATATTTCACTGACAGATAAAATGGTAGTATTGTATATAAATAACAAGAAAAAAGACAAGATTCTTTGAAAGTGTTGGCAAAGGACATGAGTATGATTTTCAGAACAAAGGTAAATGATAAATAAATGTGTGAAAAATATATATAAGTTCATTAGTAGTGTAATATATGACAAAATGTCATCTTGTAGTCAGGAAAGGTTATTGAAAGCCCACATATGTCAGGCACTGGATTAAGTCATAGTAATATAAAATCAGATGTGACATGGTTGATACAAGAAGATAATAGGCTTTGATTTTATTATACAACAGCTACACTTTACTATTTGTTCTTTAAAATGTTGTTTGTATCTATCTACTCTCAATGCTTCTATTCCTTTCCAGTCAAATGACAAATTAGTTTCTTAAAAGAAATCATATTACTCTTCTACTAGGAAGAGCTATCAATTTATGATGCCTTTAAGACAATTTCAGATTTCCTAATATGACATTTCAAATTCTCAGTTAACAAATCCATTTCCATCCTTAATTTCCACACTCACCAACAGCTTTCACCAATAGCTCTGTCAGTATTCTACAACCATCCTTCATCTCCCTCACTCCCTACCCCTATTTACACATTCATTTCCATAAACATGGACTCTGCTCATGCCTTTCATGCCAATTTGTGACAAAAAACCAATATGTTTCCACCCTTTAAACATCTGTTATTTCTGAGGCTACTTAATGAATATGTACCCTGGGCTAAAAGAATCTGAATCCCCAAGCATGTATTAAATACCCAACAAATCTTCAATAATTCCTTGTGTATGGTGTACATTATTTTCCCAATATGTGTGTATATAACTTCCATATTATATTTTAAGCACTTTGGAGTTGATTATGACTTAATTTTCTGTGAAAGGGGATGTAAAATAGTCTGGGGAAATGGCATCATTGGTTCAAATCCTAACTTCATTCCAGATGTTTGAATGAACTACTTAACATTCAAACTGAATGTTCATTTGAATGAGCTACTTAACATTCAAAAACATGAATGTTTTACTCTGACAAGGCATGAAAAATAATGCCTAGCTCATTGGAGAGTAACATATGTGAAAGATCTACTTTTGTGTTGACTGAGAGTAGCTTCACATTGAGCCATTTTTTCTTTTATATTTGCACATTTGAATAACCAATAATTTTTTTGGTTCAACTTTTTCAGGATTTCAATATTTTCTAACTCATTTATGCTAAACAATATCACCAGCTTTCTCTTAATCTTAATAATATATTAATAACTTATATTAGAATAAGACAAGTAGTGCTATCTGGGGATAAAAGCCTTGAAAATTGTTATTTTCAGGAATTGTACTCTCAAGCATCATGAGCAACTATCAATCTGTGTGGAAACATTCAAATCCATAGGATTTTCAATATAAAAAGCAATGTTTTCAACTAAATATTAACAAATTACAATTATGCAAACCCTCTATTTCAGTGAAATTGACAGGAAAAATGATTAACACTAAGCATAAAGATGTTCTTCCTTTGACAACACATATTCTATATAAATCAGTGTTCATTCATAAACTCTTGAGCAACTCAAAGAAATCTGAGAATCAAATTAAAATGTAGTTTATTCTTATACATAGTTTACCTCAAGTATTATATGACAACTTGAAATGCATGTGAGTTTGTAAGATTATACTTTGTTGTTGTTTGCTGTTATTTGCCATCAGATTGGCCCCAACTCAGGATACCATATATTTGCAAACAAAGATCTCCTTAAAATATTGAAAAGCAAAGATGTTACTTTGAAGAGTAAGGTGTACTTGACCTGGGCCATGTTTTTAATCACTTCACATATGCATGCAAAAGATGAATATGAATAAGAAAGACTGAAGAAGAATTCATGCATTTGAATAATAGCACTGGTGCAAAATATTAAATATGCCATGCACTGCCAGAAGAATGAACAAAAATGTCTCGGGTGAAGTACAGCCAGACTGTTCTTTAAAAGAGAACAGCCAGATTTTGTCTAGTTTTGACACATTATCAGGAGGAAATATTCCGTGGAGAAAGACATCATCCTTGGCAAATTGAGGATTAGTGAAAAAGAGGGAGACCCTTAATGAGGTGGATTGACACACTTAGATGATATTAGTTTGAGAATGTTATGAGGTTTCCTGTTTGTCATAATTCTTTTCATAACATTTATTACTTCCTTATTTCTTAGAGTATAAATAAAAGGGTTTAATAAAGGAATTATGATAGTATAAAATATAGCAACTGGTATATCGTTATCACCTTTCACTGAACGTGCTTGAATGTACATGAAGATTAGACAACCATAGAATATTGAGATAGAGAGAAAGTGAGATGCACAAGTAGATAAGGCTTTGCCTCTTCCCTCTTTGGATTTCATTTTGAAAATAGTGAAAAGGATGGAAAAATAAGAGCTTAAGACTACAGTAATAGTGAAGATCTGAATTGACACAGCAAAGATAAGTATCATCAGTTCATTGATATAAGGGTCAACACAGGAGAGTCTGAATAATGGAAGAACATCACAAAAAAAGTGATTGATTTGATGAGATCCACAGAAGTTTAGCCTTAATAGAAGTACTACATGAATAATGGAATGCAAATTCCCAGCTATGTAGGCCCCTATTGTCATCTGAATGCAAAGTAGCTTTGACATCATGGTGTGGTACTGCAGTGGTCTGCATATAGCCACATAGCGATCATAGGCCATTGCTGCCAGGAGAAAGCAGTCGGCAGTTTCAGCAAGGCAGAAAAAATAAAATTGTACCATGCATTCATGGAGAGTGATCGTTCTGTCCTTAGAAATGAAGTTCTCTAACATCTTTGGGGTAATGGCACAAGAACAACAGGCATCCATCACAGCCAAGTTACCCAGAAAGATGTACATTGGTGTGTGAAGACAGTTCTCCGTGAAGATCAATGCCAACAAACCAAGATTCCCCACCATGGTGATCAGATAGACAGCAAAGAACACTACAAACAGAAGAGTCTTCAGCTCTGGATTATTTGTAAATCCTGTAAGGATAAATTCAGTTGCCAAGGAGTGATTGTCCTCAATCATCTCTACTTTCTCTGTTGAGATAGGAATTACGGAGAGATAGGATTCTAATTTAATGTGTTTAATTTTTCCGTTGAATTTCTGTGGGAAAACAGAGGAAAGCTAGTTCAAGCTTCTTCTTTTGTCACTGAAATACAGACACACATATTTCTAAGACTATTAGTACCCCTTAAGTATCATCTTTTATTACCTCAAGTGGTGAAGCTTATGAATGCACTGTTGTGGAGTCCAGTCCAACTGATAGCAACCCCTCCTTGGGTTTCCAAGGCAGTCTCACTATGGAAGTCGATTGCCCAACCTTCCTTCCCAGGAGTGACTGGTGAGTTTGAACTGCCAGCCTTCTGGTGAGCAGTCAAGTCTTAGGCACTATGCCACCAAACCTCCCTGTGAAGCTCATGATACACAAGAATATTTTGCTAATTCCATGGAAATGCTTGAAGTAAAAAGTTTGAATATATGAATTTATACAAAGATAGTGTGCAAATACAGGGTCCCCTAGATTTAGTGCTCTCAATATTTCAATGTCAGTTTTTGTATTGTTAACCCAAAAAGGTCACTTAACATTTATTTTCCTTTATACATATATAACTTTTCCCATAGAATAATTTTTTTTTTTAATTTACTACCCCAGTGGAATGAATATTTTAAAATAGCATGTGATGGATGTGTTAAAAATATATTTCAAAAAGTGTACAAAGATCACTAAGTATTAAAAAGGGCTATTTAAAGAAATTACATTGGAAAGTTAGGGAAATAAAAATGCATTGATTTCCTCAATAAGTTAACCGATGTATATAATCTTCACATTTTGATTAACCTGTTCTGCCATGATAGAGCAAATTTTCTGAGACTAGTTGTAAATAAAATATAAATATTTTCCTCTTTTATCTGGATACTTTCAATTTCTAGCCTTAAGGCTCTCCTGTTGTTCTACTATTATGATATTTGGTGATCATGCTCTAATAATTATGATCATATTTTGGCATTTGATAAATATCCATTATGTATCCTGTTGCCTTGTACCATTTATTAGATAGAAGTTCCCCATTGTTTGTTTACTTATTTAAGGTCACATTCTCCTGCATTTCTAGACTTATTTATCTTTGTTTGAGGTCAGTGGTCATTACTTCATGATATTGCCAGAAATGATGTTCTGCTGCCAGGAAGACTTCGGTTTTTGTTGTCTCTAAGACAAACTCAAATTCTTTAGGATGACATTTAAGGTTCTCTGTCATCCTTATTTCCCACAATTACAGAAAGCTCTTCCTCTTTTAGCTTTCTCACTGTGCCCACCCATTGTTCAGCTCCCTCAGGCCCCTCTTCTAGTGCCACGTTCAATCATTTCCAGAAACTCTGACTTGGTCCATGCTATTAATTCCTACAAATTATTATTCCAAATGTAGATATCTGTCACTTTGACCAGATATCTTTATCCTTCAGATCCTTTATTTAAGGCATAATTTACCCATATTACTACTTATTAAAGTTTTAAATAAATAACCTAGACTGCATCAATCTCCATTTTCTGAACCCTTAAGCATATATTATATGACAAACTTAAATTAGAATTCCTCATGTTTAATCCACATTTCCTTTTACTTTTTATTTATGTGCATGTCCAGATTTTTTTTTTATTAAATTGCAATATTTTGAGATTAACTTCTGTAGATGGAGTTGTGAAATGCTATGATGAAAAGGTAAAATTGATTCAAACATCAGCCCCACCCTGATCACCTGGGACAAGTCAACTTCCTTTCACTATCCTATCAATAATACTAAGTGACATCTTTGGCCTCTGCAAATGACTCAAAACAATTTATTTTAAGAACTTTAGGTGTTTTTCTATTACTTAAATTGACTTTTATAAAAAAGTGTTGTAAAAACATATGTAACACAATACTTTCAAGTTTAACAGTTTTGAATGTACAATTTAGTGACATTAATGACATTAATCATGTTGTGCAATTTTTTTACTACGTATCTGTTTCCGTGGAGAATTACATAATTTTCTGAATTATATCACAATTGTTTATAAATTAATACATTAAAGTAGCTTCCTTTATAGTTTAATTTTATGATGCTTAGAAAAAGAGAAAACCCTTTAAATATTCTTAGGATTTTTAAGAGCAAATTTTGTTTTGCTTTAAAATTTATCTCTCTTTATCTAGTTGTAACAATAGAATACGTTAACTTAAGATGCTAGTCATGTAAATTTTAAGGTCAAAATTGATTTATACTTTCCATAACATTAAAATTAACTTTTC